TGAGGGAGACTTTGCCAGACAGTCATCCTCTCCTGGAGGGGAAACAATAGCTGGAAACCATCTCTCACCTTTGTTCTCCCAGCCCCTTCTTCTTTCCTGGTGCATCCAGATGGGAGAAGGCAAAAGCCAGGCAAGTGTCCTCATCCAGAAATCATGGGGTAGGAGCTGGCTACACCAAGTTAACAGAACCAGTTTCTAAAGCTGTCTTTGTGAAGAACAGAGACTATCTGCTCTCTATTTTATCCTCTAAGCCCCTAGTCAGCAGTTAGGCAGAGTTGCAATCACTCTTGCTTTTGGAAATGTCCTGGGGAATTTTTCCTTTTTTCTTTTCTTTTTTTTGTCTTTTTCCTCCATTGGGAACGTCTCTTCCCCACCCCCCGCCCCAGATCTGCAGACACCTACATTCTTGGCTCCTGTCTTCCGCCTACAGGCCTCCTCTTTGCTTTTTCCTGCCCTTCTCAAACACACCCTTAAAAAAAAAAAAAGTTTAGCTTTTGTAGCCTTCCTCACTTGTGCCAAGAGTCATAAATCTTGCAGAGCTGTGAGAAACAAACAGGTTTGTTCTGAGTAACAGTAATGACAACTCTCTCTTCTGTTAGTGGTCTCTCCTGTTCACTTATTCATCTCATCTTCTTAGAAGTCCAAATGTCCTTATCACCTCTTAGTCCCTTAGGTGAGAATCTTCACAGGAACTTCTCCGTGAAGTTCTCCAGCTCTCTCCCGCCAGCCACGTCTGCAACTCCAGCTGAACACAAGGTTTTCCTTTTGTCACCGGCTCCTCAGTCTCCCCTCCCCTGCAAAATGCTGTGGCTTTTTAAAATCAGCAGTCACCTCTTGTTGTCTGTTCTCAGAAAGAAGAGGGGTGGTGGTAAAATTTGAGAAAGTCTAGCCTTCCCCTTCCCAGAGTTGGAGGTTCCGCGCCCAGAGATTTGGGAGCAGAGAAAAGGAATAGAGAGCGTTGGGGACAGAGAAGAAACCAGACTGGGGAGGGGGAGTCACAGCCAGAGGGCAGGAGACCCCGCCACCAGTCCCGGAGGAGTGAAACTACTTAAAAAAAAAAAAAAAAAAAAAAAAAAGTCTTGGTGTTCCAACTGCGAATGAATGAAGAGCGGCACCCATCACTCCCACCCCTAGGTCAGGCCAGAGCCTCCAAAAGCCACTTCTCAAATTAGCATAATGGTTTACTAGTGTGTGTGGGAGGGGGAGCTGTGACTCTCGGGGCTTGGCCTTGCCTTCACTCTCCCCTTCTCCCTCCTGAAAAATCTCCACTTAAAAATTTACCTGTTCTTAAATTAAAAAAAAAAAAAAAAAAAAACAGACCCTCGACTTTTCCTTCGTTTTGCGATCCTTTTATTTGGGGGGAGGGGGGTGATTAAAAAAATCTCCCCCCTCCTCAGTCACCACCATCACCTTCCTTATCAGGCATCTAAGCTCGCTAAAGGGGGAGAGGTGGGGGGGGTGAGCTTGTGTGTGTGTGAGAGTGAGTGTGTATGTGTGTGTTTTTTTTTTTTTTTTTTTTTCCCTGTGCAAAAGCAGAGGCCATTGTTACGGAGTGTAGGGCGTACCAGTCTTATAGGGCAACCGCACTGTGGCGGCTGGGCCGTTCAGGAGCCTGGAGCTGAATTGTCGGCGAGCTGAGCCGCCCCAGCACCTTTCCGCTCTTCTTCTATTTTTTTCCCCCCCGGCTCCGCCACCCCCTCCTTCCTGCGCACCCCCGCTCCTAAGCCGAGTGAATTGAAGCGGACGCCGCGCGGCTCCTCCGGCCGCTCTGCCCCTCAGGCTCCCCAGCCGGGGTGGCTATTGGGGGGGGGAGCGACGCAGCTTTAAACAGTGGTCTTTTTTTCCTTTGCCTTCAAGGAGGGGAGATTTCTCGCCTGCCGCTCGCGCTGGGGCTCGATGTGAATATATATTATGTCTGCCTGTTCTCCCCTCGTCGGTGGCTAAGGTAAGCTGGACTGAAATAGGCTATCAGTTTGTGAATGGCGGAGAGTATGTCTCAATGATTTATGGCCCATATGACTCCAATCTCGGTTCAAGAAGAGTTCACAAGCTTTAAGCTTCCTTCCACGCAGCGACTCTCTCTCTCTCCCTCCCTCCCTCTCTCTCTCTTCCTCTCTCTCTCCCTCTCTCTTCCTGCTTCTCCCCGTTTCTCCCTTCTTTTCTTTCAGCAGCCAGCTCCAGGACTGTGTTTTCCCCGCTGCTAAGAAGAGCCTCATCTTTCTCTCCAATCCTTTCTTGTTCTTTTATTTTTCTCCCATCCGTTAATATTTTTAGATTCTGGAAGGTGGCCTGTCTCCTCTCCCAGGGGTTTCCCCAGCCATTGTTACCCTCCCTGGCTCTCTTGGGGGGGTGTGTCTGGCGAGGTGGGGTTCTTGGGGGGAGCTCACCTCTCTCCTCCAGCCAGACCCTGGGGGGAAGCCGGGAGCCACCGTCTCCCTCCCTCCCTCCGAGGAGCCATATGGAGCCTGCATTTTTCCAACATGGAGGAAGGGAAATAGACACGTTTAGCTTGGTAGAACTACTCCCCACCCCCTCTTCTCGTGGATCCCCACATCTCCGATCCCCTCGGCACCCTTCCGTCTTCTCACTGTCCCAGCAGCCAGGCCCCCCGGCGCCCTCCGGCCTAGACCACGGCCCGGCAAAGTCCCGGAGCTGAGTTACCAAGGCGCCTTTTAATTCGGTTACCTTCAGCGCCCAAACTTGCTGCTGCCTTCGGGGCTCGGTCCTCGGCCAGCCCAGTGCGCTTGGAACCGGACGCCGCTAAGCGCCTCGGAGTCCTGATCGTTTTTCTCCCCGCCTCCTTGGGCCAGAGCCGGCGGCTGGGCGCTCCTCGCCAGCCACCGCGGCAGCAGCGACCGAGACAGCCCGGCGGCGGCAGCCAGGGGTGAACCCAGTCCACAAACCTTCCCGGCCCTGTCTCGCCGCCGGCGGAGTCTCCATTCTTTCCTATCGTGTCTCCGGCTCCTTTGGCTCCCACACTCTCCTGGCCTCGGTCCTGCGATGGTCTGGGGTTTATTTGCAAGGGGGGCGTCAGGGATTTCAGCCCCAGGCGTCTAGTCAAATTATTATATTATCATCCCCATCATCATTATTGCTGTAACAATCATCCAAACTAAATAAAGCTAGGGCCCAGCCAGCCAACCCCCTCCAACGTTTTTATTTCATTTTCTTCTCTATTAATAACAAACTCAACTGATGACTGTTAATTAATTCCCTCTTCAGCTGGGGCTGCTTGGAAGCTAATTTTGGTGAGACCATCAGAGGCTAATGGTCATAATAATAAAGGGATTGGGTCAGCCTGGGCAATTGGACTCCAGTTCTCCCTGGAAGGACCTGCTGCTTTGCAGACCGTGTGTATTTTCCAGAAACCAATAGGAACTCAGGGCTACCCCGGCTCCCTTTTGAGTATAAATCTGTGCCATTAAGAAGGGAATTTATGTGTGGGAGGGACTTCCTTCACCTGCACGCCTTTAATTTTATTTCTCTATTTTTAGTTTTCTTTGGAGTTGACCAGCTGGGCTGAAAGAGATTTCAGTATTCCAAACACACACGTCAGGAAAGGGCCAGTTTAGTGGTGAGGGGTTGGGAAAGACTGGGATAGACACAGTCCAACATTTCAGGATAATTCACAGAATCCTGTGACAGTTGGAATCTTTATTTTCCTGGCACATTTTTTAAAACTACATAAAAAATAATGATTATATTATTTTATTTTATTTTTTATTTTTTGCCTTGGATGACCTCAGTAAACGGGTACCCTCTGTTTTCAACCCAGAGTGTAATACTGTTCAAATTGTTTTGTTGATTTTTTTTTTTTTTATTCCTAGGGAATAATTTTCTCTTAAAAAGCACTTTCCCTGCCTCTTGGTAGAAGAGTCCAGCAATTATGTGTACAATTCCTTCTTTCGTTTTTTTAGTTTTCTTTTGGAGAAGCCAAAGAAAACAGATCGTCAAGGAAAGGGTGGGGAAAAAAAATGAAGTCTGCTGGAAGGAAAAAAAAGGGAAAGGAGAGACTTGGGCCAAATGGTCACAGCACCAACCGCCGGGCTTTGGAAAGTGAGAAACAGTCCAACTCTGTTGGGGGCCCCATGAGGGGCCGCTGGCTGCCAGGGGCGCAGGCTTGGCTAAGGAGACTCGGAGTGGAGGTGGTGGTACCTGCAGCAGGGCCTGGGAGGAGACTGGGTTCCACCAGCTTTGGCGGTTAAAAATCTTCAGGAAGTTTCTAGGTCAGGCTGTTGTTGTTATCGTCTTTGTCAGGTGGGAAGGGAAGGACGGGATTCTTCACAGAAAGTCCTCTGCTGAACTTGCTGCTCCCTCTGGCCTCTTTCGAGGTCCTCTGCTCGTCTTCTAGGCTGGACTCTGCTTGGGTGGGAGAGATCTAGATGGACTTGGAGAGAAGCAGAGAGGCAGGAGGCAGAAAGGACTCTGCTCAGAGGAGAGTGTTGAAGACGCTTTTACTTTGGTGTCTTCTAGTCCCCCCCAAGCCTGAAAGCATCCTATCCCAGAGGTGGGGGAGGGAGGAGGAGAAGAGAGGTCAGGGGCTAGTGCGCAGGCAAGAGAAAAGCAATGGTCCCTGTAGTAAGATTCTGCACCTGGGCGGTCTTCAGAGGAGTGCTGTCCTTATTTTTTAAGTGGACATGAAAACCGGTGGGCTTTTTTCCTTTAAAATTAAAGCATCAACATAAGGAAAATCCATTTCAGGTCAGGAAAGTAGCCTCAGTATCTGCTTTGGAGATGTTGGGGTTGGGAGAAGAAAAAACTATTGATGTCAGTTCCCTTTTCAGTTCCTAAGATGGATTCGTGCCCCAATCCTCTTCTCCCCCTTGTGTCTCTTCTCTCGCCCCGCAGGTCAGCCGCTTGGAACAGACCCCGGGAGGAGGGGGGCAGGAAGGGGAGGGGGGGGGTCCGGCGTGTCACGTGACCCCCGGGGTGCCAATGTCCGGTCGTGAGGGTATCAGGCCCTTGCAAGTTGCCACCCACTGCCCGGGCCTCGGCCAGCGATGCAGAAAGCCACCTACTACGACAACACCGCGGCGGCGCTCTTCGGAGGCTACTCCTCGTACCCAGGCAGCAATGGCTTCGGCTACGACGGTCCCCCCCAACCCCCCTTTCAGCCGGCTACGCACCTGGAGGGCGACTATCAGCGCTCAGCGTGCTCGCTGCAGTCCCTGGGCAACGCCACCCCGCATGCCAAGAGCAAGGAGCTCAACGGCAGCTGCATGAGGCCTGGCCTGGCCCCCGAGCCCCTGCCCGCCCCGCCCGGCTCACCCCCGCCCAGCGCCGCACCTACCAGTACCACTAGCAACAGCAATAATGCGGGCGGGCCCAGCAAAAGTGGTCCCCCCAAGTGCGGCCCTGGCTCCAACTCCACCCTCACCAAACAGATATTCCCCTGGATGAAAGAGTCGAGACAAACGTCCAAGCTGAAAAACAGCTCCCCCGGCACAGGTACCAGCTCTCTGACTTCCTCTTCCGCAGCTTTTGTCCTGGCCAGGAATGTCACTGTTATTCTAGCACCCAGACCCTGGGCGCCCAGGCGGCGGTCTGGGGTGCAGGGCTGGGAGCAGTATCAGGTGGCAGTGTCAGCTGTGCATTTCCCACCCCCCACACACCTGATGACCTCTGACCTCGCCAGTCCCCCACTCTTTCCAGCCACCTCCCATCAGTTTCTCAGAGCTCCAGAAGGCCTGGCACTGGCCTCAGAGCCTTTGGCAAGGCCACGGAGCCGAGAGGCGCTGCTGGGAGGACGCAGCCGCGTCGGCGATTGATTATTATTAAGTATGATTACTATGGGTATTAATCACGGTCGCCTAGGCGGCCCCTGGGTCCCGGCCTCCTGGCACAGTGGCCCCTTCGCACCATACCTCGGGGCCCTACCTGTGAGCGTCCACATTGCCCAGGCTTCTCCTTAGCCACCCATCCCCCCCCCGCAAGGGTGGGGGGTTCGCTATGTGTTCCCAGAGCTGGAATTGGGGAGAAGGAGGAGAAAGCGCGCGAGAAAACCCAGCCCTAAATAAATGGCCACGCAGCTCTGTCTGCGTGACATGATCAAATTTTCATAAGCTGGGGCAGCGAGAGGAGAACAGGTCTCTTAATAAATGCCACTATTATAGAGTGTCCGCTAATACGACGGGCAGGGTGTGGGGGACTGAGTGGAGGCGGGGACGCGAAGGGGAGGGCGGCGGGGCCTCCGAGTCCAGGCCTGGATTTATTAAGAAACGATGCATTCAATTTCGGCGTGTTCAGTAATTATCTTTTATTTCATTTTCTCCCCTTCCCACCCCTCCCCCTCGGATCCGCCAGAGGGCTGCGGCGGTGGCGGCGGTGGCGGCGGCGGTGGAGGAGGAGGAGGAGGAGGAGGAGTAGGTAGTGGCGGCGGGGGTGGCGGCGGCGGGGGAGGGGACAAGAGCCCTCCAGGGTCGGCGGCGTCCAAGCGAGCGCGGACGGCGTACACAAGCGCACAGCTGGTGGAGCTGGAGAAGGAGTTCCACTTCAACCGCTACCTGTGCCGGCCGCGCCGCGTGGAGATGGCCAACCTCCTGAACCTCAGCGAGCGGCAGATCAAGATATGGTTTCAAAACCGGCGCATGAAGTACAAGAAAGACCAGAAGGCCAAGGGGCTGGCCTCGTCGTCGGGGGGCCCCTCCCCGGCCGGCAGCCCCCCGCAGCCCATGCAGTCCACCGCCGGCTTCATGAACGCCTTACACTCCCTGACTCCCAGCTACGAGAGCCCGTCCCCGCCCGCCTTCGGCAAAGCCCACCAGAATGCCTACGCGCTGCCCTCCAATTACCAGCCCCCTCTCAAAGGCTGCGGCGCCCCGCAGAAGTACCCCCCGACGCCGGCGCCCGACTACGAGCCCCACGTCCTCCAAGCCAACGGGGGCGCGTATGGGACGCCCACCATGCAGGGCAGCCCGGTGTACGTGGGCGGGGGCGGCTACGCGGATCCGCTGCCGCCCCCTGCCGGCCCCTCCCTCTACGGCCTCAACCACCTTTCCCATCACCCCTCCGGGAACCTGGACTACAACGGGGCGCCCCCTATGGCCCCCAGCCAGCATCACGGACCCTGCGACCCCCACCCCACCTACACAGACCTCTCCTCTCACCATGCGCCGCCTCCTCAGGGTAGAATCCAAGAAGCGCCCAAATTAACACACCTGTGATGAGAGAAAGGAGGACGGAGGGGCGAGGTGATGAGGGCGAGGTGGGAGAGCCAGGTGGGCTGTGGAGCTTTGGAGGGCAGCCCGGGAGGTCTGAAAGAGGAGGCAGGGAGGCAGTAGTGAGGCTCCCTAGGGAGAACGCGTCTGAGCCCCTTCCCCTCCCCCTGGCCTGAGAAGTTGCTTTTCAGTCCTTCAGTCCCTTGTTCCATCTGCCTGCCAACCCATCGGGAAAGGAATCCACAGCAGATTGGAGATGACCCCATCAACCCCAGGGCTCTAGCACTACCAGTTAGTTGAAATTCCACGCTGGGACGTGGGGTGCAGAAGGAGTTAGGAAAACAAGGCAGAGAAGCACATTTTTAAAAACAGACTAGATGGCTACGCCATCACTAACCAACCAACTTACCTTCCATCTCTGTGGGCAATTCCCCAAAACCTTGATTTTTTTTTTTTTTTCCTCGCTCTTTCGATTTTCTTTAAAAGCAAAGCAAAACACAGTTCAAACCCAAGGGCACAAAACAGGCTCCCCTCTCTTCCCAGAGGCCTCAAGTTTGCTCAAATTTAGTTGAGTTTTTTTTTTTTTTTTTTGGCACCCCTTCCATTTCTAGCCCCGTATTTTTCTGTTTTAGGACACCTACAGCCTGCCCCCACAGATTACAGTTTTCAGAGGGCTCAGGGATGGTGAGAGATCCTGAAAGAGCTGCCTATATTATAAATATATATATATTTTTTCTTTGACATAAAAGTTGGAGGCAGGCAAGTTATCAGGACTAAAGGCTTGCCCATTCTGCTGCCTCCTATTTGGGCTCAAGGTCCATCCCCCTCTCCCCAGAAAGCAGTCGGGAACACGAGGTTCTACACGTTTTGTTTTCTTCTGTTACTCTCTTGACTTAACGTGAAAACAGGGTATATTTGAACAAACTGTCTGTCCCAGACAGGGGCTACAGCTTGGCCTGTGAGCCCTCAGCTCAGCCTCCTGACAGGACACTTTCGTTGCACTTAGAGTTTACATTTTAATGGATATAAAAACAACTGTGAGAGATGTCTGGGCCTGCAGGAGCCCAGCATCGCTCAAAAAGCGTGTGTTCTAGTGAACATTTTCATATATATTTATTGGTTATAGCCTGTTAAAATATTTTCTTTTTGTATTATTTATCCCCTACAGTATGTATTTATGAGGGAAAAAAAGGAAAAAATGTACTTTTTTAGTATTTACTTGTTATAAAGGACATGTGTTTCCTGTCATGTAAACCCAGCTATTTTAGTTATTATTGTACTCTAGAAAAGAGCTGTAGGTTTATGTTAAACTCGTCCTTATGAGCAATTGTAATTAGTTGAAAAGGCATGAACTCAGCTCCTAATGGTCACTGTATAGTCCTGAATTAGTAGAATTAGAGTTATTCTCTCTTGGAACTTTCTTTGTTCTTGGTACTTTTTTCCTCACTTAAAAGAATTGTCTGTGGAACAATTCTTGAATAAACTTTCTGTTACCAATTTTATCTTGTCCTGCTGGTCCCGTTTAGCTAGCAGATCCAAGCTGCTCACTGCCAAATGTCCTCCAAGTGGACGAAGGGCAGGACCCTCTTCTCGCCCGCCCTTTTCTCCAGGGATCAGGCCCTCCCACCCCTTTCCTGTGTCTCAGGCTTAAATCCAGTTTCTCTCACTCACACTAGTCTGGAACATTCTGCCAACTTCTTTTGCTAAGGTTTAAGTAACAAGTTGGGGGGAGGCTCATGGGCGCTCTCTGTAGGTCTTTCTGTCCGGCCTCTTTGCCTTCGTTTCTCATTGACCTTTGCCAGTTCCTCTTTTGGCCACTACCTCGGCCCTTCTCTCCCCCCACCAACAACAAAATCTGGCCGGATTGCTGTTTCTTCTACGCAACCTAAACTTCACAGTCCTCTTCCGGAGCTACAAAGAAGCCGTCACGTGACCCGAAGCCCAACCACCATTGGGTCTAAAATGAAAACAAAGGAAAATGATTAATCTTAAAAAAAAAAAAAAAAAAACCCGAGGCCTAGACTTCTCAGGTCAAACCTTAAAACTAAAGTGAAATTAAATCACTAAATAAAACTTGGGGCGGAGGGACAGGACAGGAGGCACATTTGATTTCCCCTGCCAGAGAAATGAGAGGAGGAGGCAGCTGTTGGATCCAAGTGTAAATAAAATGGTCCCTAGGCTAATGTGCGGCTCTGTTTCCACAATGCTTGGGAAAACTTCATTTCTTAGTTGTGGTTCCATAAAAGTTTTATCACATTGGAGCGAGGATAGAGAGGGTCTGTCAAAGATGAAATGTCACCGCCGCGTCGCTGGAGCCGATAAAAGCGAGGAGACAGGGCGGCTGAAATACGGAGCTAATTCGTTGAAAGAGAAGCGATGGCTGCTTGCTGAAGAGTTGCATAATTCTAATTGTAAGCGATGCGCCCGCATTGCTTCATTAGGAGCATATATTTGCTGGTAACGCGGGGGGGAGGGGAGGGGGGGTTTTGAGAATCGTTCCAGGCGCTCAGCCTTAAAGCGAGAGCTGATTTTCATTTTTATGTTGCATCCTGGCAGTCCAAGGTTAGTAATTACAGTCTTTATGCAACAATAAATAACAATAAAAAAGCAACCTGAATTTCACACTCTCCACCCCCACCTACCATCACCACCAAGTAGGATTTTCACTGGACTCGCGCATCCAAGCGGCAAGCAATTTAGCATTGGGTCAGACTATAATTTAAAGGCATAAGAGCGTGCAAAGTTTGATTGGGATCAAATAACGCTCAAGGGTTTGTCTTTCTTTCTTTCTTTCTTTCCTACTCTCTCTCTTCCTGTAAACTGAATAACATTTTCTGGATGATGTAACGGGATGAAATGCCATTTTGACTCTAGGGGTGGGATGGTTTGATTATTTATCTAAAGGGAGAGAGGCAGGCCAAGAGGAAGAATTTAGCCTGAGTTTGAAATCCAAGAGCTTTGGCCTAAAGCTGGAATGGCCACCAAGAAAAATAAGGGCCGACTGTGGCTTGTGTCCTCACCCTCTCCTCTCTGAGAGATTCCACACTGTCCGTTAAGCAAAGACTTGGGTTAAATATCTGGGTTGTAAGATTCGCAGCATCACAAGGGGGGAGGGGACGACGGAGCGACGTCTCCAGGAAGGAGGTCTCTCTTGGCCCCTTTTAACACCCAAATTTTCCACTGTTCTCTAATCTGGCCGTAAAATCTGTCAGTGAGAGTTAGAGCGAGCTGTATTTCCTGCAGGAAGAGTGTAGGCTGGAGTTGCCAAGAGAAGGGCTCAATTCTGCATCCCGCTGAGAGAGTCTGTTAAAACTTGCAGGACTTCTCAAGGGGGTGGTCAGAGGGGGAACCCCCACTTAGGCCTCACTGCACAGCTTCCAGTTACTATTCAACTTCTGTTTGCGCCTCCCCCATCCACAACCCCAGAAAATCTGCAAATGTCAACAGTGGCTTTTTTTGCAGCCACATTGAACACAGCGTTTCCGACCAGTTTGCCCAGTTCTGAGCCCTCAAGAGCCTGCCTCCCTCTGTCCCTGCAGCCCCCATCTGCGACTCCCCTTTCTCCATCCAGGCTCCCTTCCACCCCCACCCTTCTCGGTAGATTCCTCTGTCCTTTTAAAATACTCACCACCACCACCCACGCGGATGTTACATTGACAGAAACTTTCTAGCTCCAGCGTCCGGCTGAGTTGCCATTTCTCTGCTAACCAGCCTTCTCCTCCCGGCTGGGCGGCGGAGTGAGGAGGGGGAGGGGAGGCCAGAGCCGTGGGAGTTCTCGGGACAAACTTTCCACCCAACTTAGCGCCCTTCCTCTGTCCCCATTTCCCATCTGTTTCCTTGCTCTGCCAGAATCACCTTTCTCTTTTGCTCACCCCCCCCCCGCCGTCCTTTTTAAGGGATGTGGAATTTCGGCTGTTCCCTCTGCTTTCCCAAAGAGCCAAATTCTTTGATGCAATCGGAGGGAGCTGTCAGGGGGCTAAGATTGATCGCCTCATCTCCTCTCCGTCCCTCTGACCCACTTATTTAAAAATCTTCCCCCAGATCGACTTTTCAGTTTCTGCTTTAAGGTCTACTTTCCCACCAATTGCTTGGAGCTCTGAGGCTCATGTACCCCTCAAACCCCCCCCCCGGTTGAATTGCAACACTCTCTAAAGTTGAGACTATCTCGGTCCCTTCAAAATAAATTAAAAAACACCAAAAATATTTCTCCTGAGGGGCCAGAAATGGAATTTCATCTCAGTGGTCATTACTTCTACCCTCTTCATTTGCAGGGAATTCTTTATTGCCAGATATATATATATATATATATATTTTTGTAACTATGACAAAAATGGGGGTGGGAGAATCGCTTTATCCAGGAGGGAGAAAGCCCGCCCGCCCTGCAACCACATACATGCACAAATACGTTGACCTGAGCTTTCAGAGTGCTTTAAGTTGAACCAGTGGCCATCTAGGTTCTTGCTTATTGCCCCTGTAGATGCAGATAGTGGTTCAAGGCTTTAGTGGGTATATATGTATGTAGGGCAGATAAAGGGCTGTAGATGCTTGTGGCTGGGGAAGGCAGGTGGGCATAAGGTGCAGGATCAGCACTGTAAACCTGGGCAGACAAGAGAACTCAGACCACACAGATGTGGAGGCCAGAGGCCCATAAACCGACCCTCACCATCTATTGCACTCCTCTGTGTCAGCCTGGGAGCGCTTGTCGATTTTCCAAGATTTAACTGTTGCTTTGGTGGGTGGGTGGGGGCGGGGATAGGATAGTGGTGCTGATGGTTGTAAATCTCTTCTCTTCCTTATTTGCACCTTAACACTGACCTTTCCCAAGGCGCTGGAAACCTCTTTGAACTTTCTTTTCCTCTCCCATTGAGATCCTCACTCATCTTTTTTTTTTTTTTTTTGGCGGGGGAGGGGGTTGCCATTTGCTGCTGGCCATGTACATAAAGCATTAATCTACTCTATTAAATAATGTTTGGAAAAGAGGAAGCCTTCGGCTTTAGATTCTCTTGCTTCCCAGGCCGCCTGGATAGCCTACCCTTGGAATGGGGTGGGGGATGGGTTGTTTTCTGGAGGAGAGGCATTGGGGAGAGGGAGTGTGAAGCACTGTTGTAGAACTGGGGGCTCATGGTGTCCAGGTCGTGGTCCTCTGGAGTTTTTGAATCAATTAAAGCAATAATGCTCGGTTTTCCACCAGGCCCAGGCGAGCGATTGGCCGAGGCCAGTCCCGTGACCAAGAATTCCCTGCAATTTCGCCTGAGTACTGGGTTTAATACAGAGAGTCCCCATACGCTTGTATTTATCAGCAATATACAATTATAAAGGCCCAAAATTTAAAAAAAAAGAAAAAGAGAGAGAGAGAGACAGAGAGGGAGGGAGAGAGAGAGAGAGAGAAGGAAATCTCCCCCTCCCAAAATCGCTCCATCACATAAACCTGGGGGGGCAGGAGGGGGGTTCCTTCCGATCCTCCCTCCAGACGCCCCCCCCCAGCAGGCCCCCTCCCCCACCATTGAAAGCCATGAATTTTGAATTTGAGAGGGAGATCGGGTTTATAAACAGCCAGCCATCGCTCGCCGAGTGTTTGACTTCCTTCCCCGCTGTCTTGGAGACATTTCAAACTTCATCAATCAAGGAGTCGACATTAATTCCTCCTCCTCCTCCTTTCGAGCAAACCTTCCCCAGCCTCCAGCCCGGCGCCTCCACCCTTCAGAGACCAGGGAGCCAAAAGCAAGCCGAAGATGGGCCCGCTCTGCCGCCGCCGCCGCTCCCCGCTGCCCCCCCTGCCCCCGAGTTCCCCTGGATGAAAGAGAAGAAATCCGCCAAGAAACCCAGCCAATGCGCCACGTCTCCTTCCCCAGCCGCCTCCTCGGTCCCGGCACCCGGGGTCGGAGCGCCCGCAGGTCGGTACGCGGGGTGGGGGTGGGGTGATGGGCACAGAGGAGAGAGGAGAAGCAGCAGCGGTGGGCGAGGTTAAAAAAAAAAAAAAAAAGGTGGCGAGCTTGTTAGGGTTTCTTGCCGCCCTCGAGTCCAGGGACCGGGAAGCAAAATATCCCACTGAGGTTCAGGCCTGGCCTCTGCCAGCACTTTTTTTCCCCCCCTCCAGCAGATTCTGGGAGGTAGTTAGAGAAGCTCTTTTTTTTTCCCCTAGGAGGAAAAGGATCCACCGGGGTTTCCGCCGCACCTGTGTGGGGCAATGGACGTGTGCTTGCCAGGATTGCATTTGGGGCAGGAGGAGACGCGGTTCCCACTCCCTCAGTCCTAGGAGACCAGGGGGAATTGTAGAGCTAGAGAGAAAATGGGGTGAAGAGCAATCTTCCTTTATGAGCCCCTTCCCTGAGTTGTGTTGGAAAGTACCGAACTGAGGGGTCCACTTGGAGGACTTAGGAGGGGGACTTTGAGGTTCTGGGGCGAAAGAAGCAGCCCCCTGCCCCCTGCACGGCCCATGGGCGGCTCTCTGAATGCTTTGCCCTGACCCAGGCCGGCCGGGTCTGCCAGGCGAGGAAGGGATGGAGAGGAAAGAACCGAAAAGGTGTGCGAGGGAGTCGCCTTGATGGGGAGGGAGAAAGGTGGTCCGCGGATACTGCTTTTGGCGGAGGGTAGTCTTTCGCTCAGCCGCACTGAGGCTGAGCTGAGGTCGCGGCCCGCTCTGACGCTCAGACTGCTTTCCCGGTAGATGGCACGGGACTGCCCGAGGCCGGCGGCGGCGGGGCGCGCAGGCTGCGCACGGCTTACACCAATACGCAGCTGCTGGAGTTGGAGAAGGAATTCCACTTTAACAAGTACCTGTGCCGGCCGCGCCGCGTCGAGATCGCGGCCTTGCTGGACCTCACCGAGAGGCAGGTCAAAGTCTGGTTTCAGAACCGGCGCATGAAGCACAAGCGGCAGACGCAGCAGCGAGAGCCGTCCGACGGGGAGCCCGCCTGCCCCGGCGCCCTAGAGGACGCGGGAGACCCGGCTGAAGAGGCCGCGGCCAGCCCAGGAGGCCCTTCCGCCCCGCAGGCGGCGCGAGAAGCCTGTTCTCACCTGCCCGAGGTCTCACCAGGCCCCGCGGGCGCTTCGGGTCCCCGGCCTTCGGCAGCGCTCAGGGAGGGCGCGAGGGCGCAGAGCCCACGCTGCAGGGCCGCGGGGCTGGAGCCGGAGCCGTTGCCAGAGGACGCCTTCCCAGAGCGACAGGATTCGCCTTTCCTGCCCGACCTCAACTTCTTCGCGTCCGACTCCTGTCTCCAGCTCTCCGAAGGCCTTTCGCCCAGCCAGCAGGGAGCACTTGACAGCCCGGTTCCCTTTTCCGAGGAGGAGCTGGACTTCTTCACAAGCACGCTCTGTGCCATCGACCTGCAGTTCCCCTAACCGGGTTCCCTGGCCCTTCAGAGCCTGGGCCCCCTGGCCATCTGCAAGAAAACGCAAGGCTCCCCCTCCCCTGAGTCCCATTGACTTCTTTATGTGTTTTGCTAAAATTCAGGTATTATTGAATTAGCGTTTAATCCATTCCTTTTTTTTTCTCTCTCTCTCTAAAATATTGGGCACTTGGGCTTCTTTTAAAACCGACGCCGAAAAATTCCGTTTGGTAGACTTCCTCCAACGAAATCTCAGGAATAATTAAATTCTTAAGGGTTTTCTTAAGAACTAGAGGGAACTATTTTCCTTTTTTTTTTTTTTTAAGTTTTAGACCGTAGATTATTTATTAAAATTCTTTAATAATAGGAAAAGGGGAAAGTATTTATTGTACATTATTTTCATAGATTAAATAAATGTCTTTATAATACAAAAGAGAGTAAGTGTTTGTGTTGGGATCCAACCCCTTCCCCTGAACTCCCAAGGCCAGCAGCCCCTCTCCTCCAGGACTAGCCTCAAGGTGGGTTCTGTGGAGCCGCAGGCTGCGGGCGGCAAAGCTCCCTGGATGGCGAAGTCCGGGTGGTACAAAGATGGCCCCACCCGGTCGGTCCCCCCGCCCCGTGACGCCAGGAGAGTCAGAGGTTTTCTGGAAACTGAGTCAGCCTCCAACCCCGCAACAGCCGGCCTTTAGCCCTGCGTGGGTGTTCCAGGGTGTCTGCTAAGATCTAAAGGTGGGCGGGTAGGCACAGAGGGTGTACGGAGAGGAGGGCGGGGAGCTCGTGTTCAGCTGACTTGGGGAGGACTCCCCAGGCTTCTGCTTCAGTGCCTTAAGCGGGGTCAAGGGGCTTTTACCCAACGGGCAGCCTGAGGCCTGTGTGCGCATGGCCCGATGCTTCTGAGGTCTTTTACCCTTTACCAGAGGATAAGAGAGAATTTCTCCAAAAAGCAAGACCCCATGTCCAGAGATGGGAACTGGCCTCCAAGTAGGCGAGAAAGAAGACCAGCTGAGAAAATAAGGCGCTGCGAACGTCAGTGCCCTCCGTCCCCGGTCCTCCTGGGGCTCGGGTTGGGAGAGCGCCCCCGGAGCGGCCGGACGACCAGCCCAGCAAGGCCCGGACTGCAGCGGGAAGCGCGTGGCCTACAGGGAGGGAAGGAGGAGGAGGAGAGCGGAAGGGAGGTGAGGAAGCAAGGAAGATGCGCAAAATGGCGCTGGGGCCGGGCGGCGGGGAGGGCGAGGTAGGAGACTGTGGCCGCCATGACAGCCACTTCGAGACGTGCAGGGTCCAGCCCAGGGAATCCGCCCCTCTCCCCGCTACCAGGTCTCCCCTACCCGAAGGAAGATTTGGAGCCTGCGGGCCTCCCTTTCGTTTGGGTTTTGTTTTAAAGATGAAGCCTAAGGATGCTGAGGATGAGCTGTGGAAGCGGAGTCCGTGTGTGTGCGAGAAGGGGAGGGGGCGACTGCGGCTCTGCGGACCCCGGGCTGCCTCTCAGCAGCTGCCTGCAGATCCTTCTTTCTGGGATCGGAAGCCTGCCTAGACCCACCTGCATCTCCCAGCTCTCATTTTGCATCCCAGCACTGTCTCCTACATCCCACCGCACCCTGTCCTGCTCCACAAACACCCGGGAAGCGAGAATCCATCTCCTTCCTTCTGCCTCCTGGTTTGTTTCGAGGGAGCATGGAGATTTAAGGGCCCCCAGAAAGCCATCCATCCTCCTTAGGTTTATTTAATATTTCTCCAGCTCAGAAAGAGACTCCGTGGGACCACCTCTGCCGCAGATGCTGTCGTCTCTAAAAGCAGTTTATTTCCTGGGCTTCCCAGACTTTCCCGTGGACCAGCGGGACAGGTCGTGCAGCACAAGGCACCGAGCGGCAGCAACTGTTAGGAGAAGCCACGAGCCAACGTATGTCCTGACATACAGGACTAGACAAGTCCTTGCATATATATTTTTTTAACGGGTCCCTCCTTGTGGGAGGTACACACATCTTATTCAGCTGAAATTTTATCCCTTAAACTGTCTTAATATAGAATTCATCTCCTGCATTAAATAATCTTATGTCATGTTAAATTGGACTTATTTCTCTCATAAATAAATTAATATAGAACAATTATATGTGTTAGTATAATAATATCGTGTATCTTATTAGTTTATTTTCCCTCATAAAATATATAGGTATGAAATAAATTCAAGATATTAAAGTAATAATACACAGCTTATTGCCTTGTGTGTTTATTTTCCCTATAAATAAGTGAATATACAATATATTAAAACCACATTGTACATCTCATTGGGCTCTGTGTTTATTTCTCCATAAAATATGTCCACAGGCAGTGTTTCCCGTCTTAAAAATCACAGCACATAAGCCATCTCTCCGCTAGCAGAATGAAATAGACATTTCAGCTGGAGACTGATTTCTATGGACAGTCAAAGTGGATAATATGGTTGAACTAAAAATGCTCTTTCAGTTATTTATAGCAGGTTGTTTCAAAGATCAAAGATACCAGACGGATCCTTTTAACTGACCACCTTCCAGCTTTCTTCAGTCAAAAGGAGATCACCCTTCATCAATGTTCAAAAATGCAGGATCTCCTCTGCTGGGGAGAGGAGAATTCACACTCTGAGATCAAGGCTTGGTTGGAGCCATACTCAGGGGCCTCTGGTGCTTCAGTTCTCTAGGCCTTGCTCCTCGATGTGGTGGTCCACTACCTGTGAGCTGGTTAGAAAAGCAGACTCTCAGGCCTCACACCAGACCTAGTGAATCAGAACCTGCAATTTAGCAGATGTGCTAATGATTTACATGCACATTGAAGTTCGAGAAGCCCTGCTAGGTCACAGTGCTACACTGCTTCCTGCCTTTCTCCCACACTAAAAAATTGTTGACCCATTTTACCTGGCCACTGCCTTCCAATCGTCTCCTACCCAGACCAGTGGCCCAAAGAGAAGAGAATCTCCACTCCTCCCTGAAGCGTCATCTGTTCTGATTCTTCTCTGCCAGGCTGACTTTCCGGAGTTTCCAGCCAAAAGATCAATCATGACGATTTTTAGATTAGGTACTTGGGTATCCTGGGGGTAGGAAGCTGCTCCCAATCCAGGGAATCCAGCATTCCCCTTGGTTGATTATTGGAGAGAAGTTGGAGATCTTACAGGAAACAAACCTTTCTCTTTCTCTCCTTTCCCAAATTCATAAATGGCACCATCTCTGATGCCACCAGAGCATAACAAAGGGACAATGCATTTCCTGAGGGAAATGGTGCCCCTCTTCAATCTCATCACACAACTTCCAATTCCGGGAAATCCCTAGGGATTTGGGACTCAGGAAGGATTGAGATTTAGGATGCCTGTGTTCCAAATAAGCTCCTTTCATATCTGAGGTCATCTCCTTCAGCCTCAGTGTTCCTATCTGGCTGTGGAGAAGGAAAGGGAAGAGGTGTGGTTCCAAGATAAGGCAGTAGATCTTTCTTGTTCTGGGGTGGCAGGTTAGAGGGCACTGCCAGGTGGCATCCCATCTTGATCTGGGCAGGGCTTTTGGAAGGGCTTCTCTTGGGTCAGAACCAACTGTGAGTGGTCTGTAGCACAGACTGTTATAAATTGACTGTGGTTGGAATGGGAGAGTTTCAGAGCAGCCCAGAAGACTACTGGCCAGTCTGCCTTGCTCTTGGTTAGTCATTCTTTTAAGAAGAATGGTTCACTTATATTATAGTGAAAGCAAAGGGTCATTAGAGTAAGGAATTATTTGCAATCATGATAACCCTGAGTCATTGGAAAAAAAGAAAAAAAGTTATGTCTGGACAAGTCCCCCTCCCCTTTCTGGACCTCAGTTTCTGTAAAATAAATGAAAAAACTAAATGCTTCCAATGTACTCTGCATTCACATATGTCAGAAGTATGTTTGTTACTCTTCACAATGTATTAACTATTTATTATGGCCGGTATTAACTATTTATTATGAGTCGGGTTTGACTCGATGGCACATAACAACAACAACAACAACATGGCTGGTGTCATATGCTTTTATATGGGGGTGGTGACACTTGGTATTTGACAATAATAACCCCCCTCCTGAATATCCGGTGGGACCATTTTAATGAATGTTAATTTGTATCTTTACACTAACAATCATGCCCCAACCATTATTTAAATAAACAGAGAGAGAAATATTTCCAGGAAAAAAACAATTAATTGGAGTGCTTGCAGTGTTGTGTTCCAGGTACCAAGTATTCAATAAAAATGATTATTAAGAAGTGTCCTAGCCCTCTGGTTTTCCTCTGGCTTTCATTCTCTGCCATCTTCTCCAATATTTGGTTGTGTTTACTCTTGCTTTAAAAAGAGTAGGCCGTTCCATACCAAAAATGTGAGCCAACTTCTTTGACATGATGTTTTAGACTTGAAAAGTCTCCTTGAGTCATGTTTATCTGGTTTCTGGGGCATCAGAACATAGACACAAATTCTGGGTCTCCCTAAATAGCCCTGTTGAATTCCCCTACTCACTTTCCTCCAGAGTCTCAGAAAAGTATTTACCAGTCCGTCTGCACATCTTTCTGAAATGTGCTCAAATTCATACCCTTAATTTACAGAAGGTGGCCTCCAGTGCCCCACAGCATCCCCTCTCTGCCTGCCTTGGCAGCCATGGCCCAGATCTTCCACTGACCTCTCCAACTCAGCTTTGCTCTCTCCCTTCCCCATTCTTCTCTTCACACTCAGTGGAGAGGCAGATATTTTGTGCCTGAAGGAAATCTAACAAATTGCTTTCTCCATGGAGGAGAGAATGAAAAGTGAAGGAGCCCTAGTAAAACCTTTTCTTAATCCTTCTCCTTTCTGAATCTTCTGGCCTCAGATATGAAAAGAGCTCATTATTTAGAACATAGGCATCCTAAGTCTCAACCCTTCTCCCAAACACTATAGAAAAATCACTATTTGGACAAGTCATTCTTTTGGAAATTCAGTTGGATAAGTGTTCATAAGGTGTCTAAAGTGGATATTTTGGTCAAAACTATTACACTTGAAAAAACTAATTAATTAGAAAATGATTTCAATTTTTCATGCCACTCTAATCCTTCCTTTTAAAAAGTTGTCCAACTCTCTGATTTATCTTTCCCTTCAGATAAAAATTTACATCCTGTTCATCTATCTGGTTCACAGAAGTCAAGTTCAAACCTTACCCTGAGGAAAGACAGTTGCTAAGCTAAATTCCTCCAGGAAGGAGAGACAGCATCGTCCCTAGAAAACTTTCCCCAAATATTTGGAAAAACCAGCAGATTCTTTCTAATATTCAATCTCAAATTTTTGGGTGCAATTTTAAATTCTTTTACAAAACATTAGGTTTTAGTTTTCAAAATACTTTTCAGTGTAGAAGACCTTCTCAATGCCCAATAAAATTTGCATATGATTAAGTACATATTGTACAATATATGGTGATATGGTACATGAAAGTA